TTTGATGTGATCGTCAAGCGCCATAGAATAAAACGTCTCCATGACATCTCTATGCGTCAATTACTATAGAATAGGACATTTCTATCATCAATTATCATAGAATAGAAAATTTTCAAAATTTTCAAATTTAATGTGATCGTCAATCGCCATAGAATAAAATGTCTCCACGACATCTCTATGACGCGATCAACCGCCATAGAATAGAACATCCCTATGACGCAATTGTACGCGTCAACCGCTATAGAATAGGACATCTCTATGCGTCAATTACTATAGAATAGGATATTTCTATCATCAATTATCATAGAATAGAAAATTTTCAAAATTTTCAAAATTTTCAAATTTGATGTGATCGTCAATCGCCATAGAATAAAACGTCTCCATGACATCTCTATGACGCGATCAACTGCCCTAGACGAGCACATCTCCCTGCGTCAATTACTATAGAATAGGACATTTCTATCATCACTTATCATAGAATAGAAAATTCTCAAAATTTTCAAATTTGACGTGCTCGTCAATCGCCATAGAATAAAACGTCTCCATCACATCTCTATGACGCGATCAACTGCCCTAGACGAGCACATCTCCCTGCGTCAATTACTATAGAATAGGACATTTCTATCATCAATTATCATAGAATAGAAAATTTCCACGATCATACGCGTCAATTGCCATAGAATAAAATATTTCTATGACGCGATCGTACGCGTCAACCGCCATAGAATAGGACATCTCTATGCGTCAATTACCATGGAATAGGAAATTTCTATGACGTGTCAATCGCTGTAGAATAAAACATATTTATGACGTGATCAATCGTCATAGAATAGGACATCTCTATGCGTCAATTACCATGGAATAGGAAATTTCTATGACGTGTCAATCGCTGTAGAATAAAACATATTTATGACGTGATCAATCGTCATAGAATAGGACATCTCTATGCGTCAATTACCATGGAATAGGAAATTTCCATGACGTGTCGCTGTAGAATAAAACATATTTATGACGTGATCAATCGTCATAGAGTAAAACGTTTTTATGACGCGATCGTACGCGTCAACCGTAGAATAAGAAACGTTTATGATATGATGATGCAATCATCATAGAGTGGAACATCTCTGCGAGTTCAATTATCATAGAATAGAAAATTTCTATGATATGATGGAACCGCCATGGAACAGGAAATCGCGATGGTACGCGATGTACAATGGGAAATACGACTCGTATCGAGTCTCGTATTCGGCCTCGAACGTACAAACGCACGGTTTGTTCTCTTTCTGCTCGGTGTGGTTAAATCCTTTCTTGGGACGATTCGAGCGAAACCGATGGCGGGGCTTTTCAACGACAACGAGGAAATTCGAGGGGAAAATTTTAACACTGTTGATTCAACGCGTAATTACCGCGTAATTCACAAGAGAATCGTGTAGCGACATATTAATTCGGGGGAGAATAATGGCGTAAGAAGGAAAAATGACGCGATATTAGGTTGTCCCAAAAGTTCTATTCGTCTTACTATAGATACCCTTCTAACGTCACAGTTTCTCTCTCTCTCTCTCTCTCTCTGAAACTTGAAATATTATTTTATTTCTCCAACAAGATGACTCATTTGAAAAATATACCGAGTAATCCCTTAAATATGATTTAAAGAACCGATTCTTTCACGTAGAATCATCGCATTAGTTCTACTCTATTTAAACCATACAATATATATATATATATATAAAATTGTGAAAGAATTATTCAAATTTATCCCATTTTCTAATACGTCTCGATAAAAGAAAAATAAAAACTTTCAATATATTTAATATTTCGTATAATACAAATAAATAACTCTCGTCACAAGCCAATAATTCAGCAAAATTGTTCCATCAAAGGGTCAACTCGATAGAGTCAACTCTTTGACGAGATTCGTTTCGTCAAAGAGTATCGTGCCAATTATATACGTACACATCCACGCACGCGAAGCGCTTTCGAAGAGAGCCTCCCCCCTCTCCCTTCCCCCGTTTCGCAAGTTTTGACTCGAGTTCTCGTCGAATCCTTCCCTCCTCCTCTCCAAGAAAAATTAAAAACCCCTCAAAAGCTTCAATTCCTCGCCCAATTAATCGCCAATTTGGACGAACACGCGCCCATATATATATATTTTCGTCCACGGTATTTTCGCAAACGGTTTCGCGTATCGCGTAATTTTACCTGGCCGAATCCTCCCGGATATAAATAATCCGAGTTGATCGCTTCGAAGGTTGATCGTTACGAGAGACGCAACCGGCTCTGTGGCTGTGTCCGGCCGCAACGTGGAAAATTTCGTGCGGGGAATAAGAATCGCGCAAGCTCCCGCCGAGCTAACAGGTACACGCGAAATTTCGTTAGGCGAGCCGAGGTGAATAGAACGCTCGATCTTTCTATATTTCCCTCTCCCTTCTACGTACGTGTACGTGTGCGCGCGCGTAAAAAAGCCATGAATAAGCCGCCTCCCTCCTCCCCCCCCTTTCCAAGAAGACCAAAGACCGCTTTCTCTCGCCCACCTCGCGATCCTCGACTCGTCCTTACACTTTTGTCCAAACCGAAGTGCTTCGCTTTTCTTCCGCCACCTCTGCCTCCCCCTCCTTCTTCCCTCCTTCGAAATCGATACACACAGGTACTCGAGCACGAGAGCGAGAGAGAGAAAAAAAGG